GGAACCCACGAACCCGAACGCAACCACGTACTCGAAGACTAACGCCCAAAATATTTGAGAGTCTTGTAGGAGACACTCTTGTAGAACGCCCTTGTGGGACACTCTCGCGCAATACTTTCGCCACTCTGTGGGAGACTCTTGCAGGACACTCTTGCGGGACACTCTTGTGGGACACAGTTCTGACGCCACAGCTCCCAGAAACTGCTTCCCGTACTACATTTGTACTACAGAGCTGCCAGTTCTACAGCTCCCAGAAGCTGCTTGCCGCACTACATTTGCACTACCAAGTGGCCAGTTGCGAGGCCACAGCTCTCACAAGCTACATGTGCACTACCAAGTGGACGGTTCAGTGCTGAGGCTGCACGCTTCCCGTACTACATGTGCACTACCAAGTGGCCAGTTCTGAGGCCACAGTTCCCACGACGTGCTTCCCGCACTACATGCGCATTACAAGTTGCCAGTTCTGAAGCCGCAGCTAAAGTTGCCAGTTCTGAGGCGAGAGGGACCAGAAGCCGCTTCCCCTACTACAACTACCTGCGCAGCTCCCAGGAGCTCCTTCCGACATTAAGTTTGCGCTACAAGTAGTGCACTCTTTTGGGACACTCTTGTAAAGCAGTCTTGCGAGACACTCTTGTAGGACACTCTTGTCGGACACTCTCGTGGGACACTTTTGTAGGACACTCTTGTGGGACACTCTTGCAGGACACTCTTGCGGGACACTGTTGTGGGACACTCTTGTCGGGCACCTTGTAAGACAGTCTTTCAACACTTTTGTGGGACACTCTTGTGGTACACTCTTGTATCATACTCTTGCAAGGCACTCTTGTAGGACACTCTTGCGAGAAGCTCTTGCAGGACACTCTTGTAAGACGCATTCTTGTCGGAAACCCTTGTGGGACACCTTGTGGAACGCCTACAGTACAACATTCTTGCGGGACACCCTTGTAGGACACTCTCGTCGGACAGTCTTATGGGACACTCTTGCGGGACACTCCTGTGGGATACTCTTGTATGTCACTCTTATGGGACACTCTTGCGGTACACTCTTGTTGGACACTCTTGCTAAACACTCTTGTCGGACACTCTTGTGGAAAACTCTTGTAGGACACTCTTGCGGAACACTCTTGTACGACACTCTCAAGGCGGAGCACTCTTGTAGGACACTCCTGTGGGACACCCTCCTAGTCTTGTAGGGCACTCTTGCCGGACACCCTTGTGGAACACTCTTGTGGGACACCTTTGTCCGACACTCTTGCACGTCACTCTTGTAGGACACTTCTGCGGGACTCTTAATAGGTCACTCTTGGGGGGCAACCCCCTGCGGGACACTCTTGTGGAAAACTCTTGTGGGACACTCTTGTAGGACGCATTCTTGTGGGACATCCTCGCAGGGCGCTCTTGCGGGGCACTCTTGTCAAACGCTTTTGTGGGACACTCTTGTAGGAAACTCTGTTCGGACATTCTTATGGAACAATCTTTTCGGACACCCTTGTCCGACACTCTTGTGGGACACTCTTGTGGGACGCTCTTGTAGGGCGCTCTTGTCGAGCACTCTTGCGGGACACTCTTGTGGCACACTCTTGCGGAACACTCTTGTAAGACACTCTTGTAGGTCACTCTTTGGGACACTCTTGTATGGCATTCTTGTGGGACACTCTGGCCTGGGACATTGTAGGACACTCTTGTGGAACTGTCGGAAACTCTTGTGGGACACTCTTGGGGCGCACTCTTGTAGCACACTCTTGTCGGACACTCTTGTGGGACACTGTAGGAGTCTGTAGGAAACTCTTGAACGTTTCGTAGCAGACGCCCTCCAAAAGTCACACATTAAGTCTGCAAAACAAGCATTTCGTACGAGACTTCTTCAAAAACTAACACTTCAAGTCTGCAAAACGAGCGTTTCTTACGAGACTTCCTCCAAAAGTCACGCGTCAAGTTCTCCAAAACAAGCGTTTCGCGCGAGACAGTCACACATCAAGTCTACAAAACGAGCGTTTCCCACGAGACTTCCTCCAATATTCACTCGTCATGTCTCCAAAACAAGCGAAACGAGACTTCCTCAAAAACTAACCATTCAAGTCTGCAAAACGAGCGTTTCGTATGAGACCCCCTTCAAAAGTCTCATGTCAAAGTCTTCAAAACGAGCATTTCATTCGAGACTTCCTCCAAAAGTCAAGCGGGAAGCCCCATCAGACAGCCCTGCCAAGCAGTCTCGCGATTCCAAACAACACCCGCACACACACCAATCCCAATGTCACAGCGACATTCACCTCCACCACAACTCGCAACCTCACGATTCCCTGCCCCTGTCACGAATATTTGCACGTCCACACCTCTAACACGCACGAAGCACTGTGCCTGCTACGAAATGTGACGCCACACCTCGCAACCTCACGACTCCCTGCGCCTGCCACGAAAATTGCGCTTCCACACCTCAAAGCCCGAACAAAGTACTGCGCCTGCCATGAAAAATGCCAATATCATTTCATGTTAGCTTCAGCAAAGTTTGCACCACACCACACGTTTGGAGTGACTTCGACACGTTCTGAGCACGCCCGCATCCACCAAAATCGCCATTTGAGCTGAAAGTTATCACGAAAACACAGCTTCGAAGCATCACCCTTAAACGCAAATCCCAATGTCACAGCCACATCCAACACCCCAAGAACACCACCCTCCAACCGCCAGTCCCAATGTGACTTGCGCAGAAAACTCGCCGTCTCACGCGCCTGCGCAGTGATTTCATCCTTCACACTTCATCCTCTCACGTTTCCACACATTTCCTCGCTATTTCACACGAATCTGACACGTCATGCTTCCATCCAAAACCCGCCCTACTGTGAACGGTTGCGAACGGTTGCGAAGGGTTGCGGACGGTTGCGGACGGCAACGAGTCGCGAACAAGGCTCTACCCCCAGGCCCCCAAAAGTTAAACGAGAACCCTTCGCTACGCATTCGGAAATAAAAGGAAAAGAAAACGACGATGGCTGGAGAAGGGCTGCGGTACCGCCAAAGGCGGGATTCGAGTCATCGGCTACTCTTCAGTCCTCCATGACAGTCTGATAGTGCCGCACTGTGGCAGGGTCACCACCTGACGAACAGCAAGGCACTGATGGGCAGCATTGTTTGGAAAAGGCTTCAACGACTTGACATCTCGTGGTAGCGGCAGGAGGGGTTCTTGTTTGAAACTAGCCTCTAAGCCTCCTAGTGTCTTGATAAGCTTCTCAGCCTCTAAGTCTCCCAGCGTGCTTGACGGCTCTAAGCTTCTAAGGCCGCTTAGGGCTTAGGCGCTTAGACGTTTAGGCGCTTACGCCTCTAAGGCTCTAAACGCCTCTACGCCTCGAAGCCCCTTAGTGTTCTTAGCCGCTCGCTCAGCTTAGGCGCTGGACGTTGCTTTGTCTGGGCTTAAGAGCTTAGGCGCTTAGGCGCTGGACGTTGCTTTGGTTGGGTTTAGGCGCTTCGGCGCTTGATGTCAAATAAGTGAACCCCTTCTACTACTGCAATGTGACATCTGTGCCTCTTGCAATGCGGACACTCAAAGCAAGGATCTGCTTCTTCAGCAGGCGTTCCTCGAGGGCTGAGAAGTTGCTTCAACGTTGATTTAGACCTCCTTTGGTCTTCTACAGTATATGTGTTCCATCAAGAAGGATCCCACATACTTGGCCATTCTCAAACAGAATCATAATGGGGCCATCGTTGGATGTACATCTGTCCAGGGTACCGAGTGAACTGCCTCTCAAGGCACAACATTCAAGACTTGAGAGAGGGGATTGTGCGGGCTGCTGCTTCTAACCTGACAAGAAGATAAGAGAAGTGTGAGGATAACTCTGAATCAAGAGTTGCAAGTCCAAGAAAGCAAACAGTTGAAACGATTGATACACTTCTGTATGTACAGGTGTCATCAGTCATCCTTCCATAGCTTCTATGTTGTACCTTGGACCTTTGTTGGAGAGTGGAGAGAGAGACTCCGGTACCAAACACAATAAACACAAGAAGCTCCAAAAGGCTGGGAACACATGGAGCACAAACCTTTTTGCAGCGAAGTCAACAGAGGCTGGGAGGGTACACAATGACCTAACTTGTCCATATCAACTCCTTTGGAGAAAGAAATCTGGTTTAATTGCCAGTCTAAGACAAACAGGGACGCAAGTTGATGGAAATGGGACCACAACTTCTATGAAGAGACAAGTGAGGAGTGGACAAGCCTCAGCCTCAAGAATCGTGAACTGGACATCGCAGCTGAGAGGCAGAAGTCATTTGGGGGGGCTGTCCGTGCACGACGGCTCTGTGGACATCATAACGATCTTCTGCTGGATTGTATCCAGCCTCAAAATGAACTAACCCGATATCACGCCAAGCAGGTTTGAATGTCACGTTCAAGCTAAGGGAGCCACCCATTCATGTTTCGCCAGGCAGCCACAGTTCCAACACCTGGAGTTGAAAACAAGCGAAACAAAAGCCAAACAGGCGCCTTAAGAACTGAAACAGTGTTAGACAGCTGATCTTGCAAGCAAGCAGCGAGACAGTGTCAGTTGATGGCCAGCTTAGTGCACAAGAGGTCAATGATGGTCAATGCATATCATCCAACACAGAAACAAATTTGGAATGCGCCATTGTACAGCACAATCTTATTGTGCTGAGAGACAGCGTAAAAATATCTTCTTGGATTGTGGTCCAGGTTGTGGAGAAGCAGCCGAAAGCGTCCCAGAACATGTTGACCTGGACTGGTCATGCGGTGCAAGAAGGTCCCACGCAGAACCATGCAGTTGGATTGATGACAAACATGTGCGCCTGTCGAAGGATCTTGCAAATCAGGCTGCGACGGGAGATTGGAGAAAAATCAAGCCTTAAATTCTATAACATTGAACAGTCGTTCATTCTCTTGCATTGTTTCTGTCATTGTTGCGACAGCGCCAACGAGCCTCCAATTGCCAGAAATATCATGAGATCCGACAAATTAAATGTCGAAATCAGCACGTCAAGGTCAATTTGAAGTCATTCTGGTGTACTGTAAGACTTGTGCAGGTTGCAAGCGCACTTTTTGTGGAACCATGCGCTTAACAGCATGTCTCTCAATTCCCGCCTTGGCAGGTCAAAAGGCGTAGGGGGTCAAAACGCAAACTAGGAATTGGTGTCACACAATCGGTCAATGAAAATGGCAACAAATTGAGACAACTCAGTTGTGTGACACCAAGCCATCTAATGCTCAAAATCCGTGGAACTGGAATCCACAGCTCCACCGTTGACTCGAGTCCCCAAACAAAATGAAAAGAAACAGGTTGTCAAAAAGCAGGGCGCTGCACGCATTTCCTGCATGTGCCATGCACGTTACCATCGCGTTCAAAATTGTTTTGTGGCGTGATCAAGCTTAAAGTTGCTTTTTGACCCTGGAGTACACTAGCAGCTAGCAGTGGCGCAATCTCAGCATTGTGAAGCACGCTGCCAATGCTCAGTGGTGGAAGAGTCTCAACTTGGTGAAGGCCATGGCCTGGATCAATCAACGCTAAAACCCCGTGCATGTCGTATGAGTCCACCAACAAGTCGCATGTGACACTTTTCGACTCAAGTCGACTTCAACTCAAAAGCTTGGCACCAAGCCATGCCGTAAGTGTTGCAAGCATCAATCACTTCAGCATCCGCCACTGAACCACCAGGTTGAGCCACATATTTCACACCCAACCTGGCCAGCAGAAGCTTCAACACAAACTTTGCAGCTCCTCCCTCTCTTTTGCGCATGCAGAGACTCTCTCAGCAAGTTTCTCTGTCTCCCGGCTCTCCACATTTGATGATGTTCGCAAGTCGCAAAAATATCAAGTCTGAAGTCTGAGCTTCTACATCAAACCCTGGAGGCTTTGACAAAGGCCTTGTAGCATGATCTATCGAGTCCCGGAAGGGGAAGAAGGCGTCAGATGAGATTGCAACTCCATCGAGGCCTAGAAGTTTCAGTACAAACACATCCCTAGCGTTGAACAGGACTTGACCAGGGCAGAAGCCCAATGAACGAGTCCAAACATGACAAGAAGCAAAAGCACATGGCCTTTCAAAAAAGTGCTTTTGTCTTCCGCTGTCAAGGGTTCTGGCCTCAGCGTGTCAGCGTTCCATGCCCACCCCATCTTCTCAGTCTTGCTCCCCTGGACTTCTCATCCGAGCAACGGTGAATTGAAGTTCTTCAGCCACTCGGTCTTCTCAGCGTCTTCCATATCACCCTCGATGTAGCCTTTGGACGGTCCACACATCAGAAGTACAAAGTTTCACAAATTGCCCCCCTGGTATCAAAATGGTATCCGAGGATCAAACGCACCCTTGCATTGACTCGATCCTGTCGCTTGACCTCACTGAGAACCACAAGCCAATAACCTCTTCAGCATCGCTCCAGGAAGTCTACATTGCAGAATTGCAGTCTGTGTCCCTAACACCTTCTTTGAAAGGCAGGCCCTTGACCTGAGAGGACGATTTGCAAAGTAGCAATTGCTACAGGAAAAGTAAACAAAAAAAGTATATATATAGGAGGCAGGCCTTCGGATGGAACCTGTGATGCCAAAACCATTCCGCGTGCGAAATCTCAAACACATCATCTCCTACCTCAACCACCATGTTGCAACTTTCCGGCCAGCGAGCTTCACGCAGTCAACACCTCGAAATTTTATACACACATGAAAAATGCAAGTGATGCAATGCTTAGCAAAGGAATCATTGACATCACATGTCCTTGCACTCAACAACTAGTAGTGTTGGAAGGTCTTGGTGGTTTGAGGTAGCATTGATTGTCATTGGAGATTGACGAATAAGCTATTCTTCATGGCGATATATGGTGAAATCACTTTCGGCATAGACAAAAAGTCTTGCTGATCTGTACTGACCCTTGGCGATCTGCTGTTGTTTGTTCAATTAACAGTGCTTTCCTTACAGTGCAGTGTTCTGTCATTATTCTACGATGAGAGCCCCCGCATCGAGAGAAATCAGATCCGAACTGGTATATAATGTTTACGCAAATATCCTAAACTGCCATGCAGTGTCGACTTGTCAACTGCAGAGCTCCGGACGGCTCTGCTGACCCGCACCCACGCCAATCATCATGCCATCCTGCGGTGTTTTGCGCATGTCATCATAGTTTGCTGTTACCACCATCGGATGCACCACCAAGCTGTGAAACGTACTTGCTGCACTACTTATATAGTAGTCTTTGACGGCTCTTGTCCTTGCTGTAGCCAACCGAATTGGATTGTCTGGCAAAAGCAAGCTTTGCCGATGCTGCAGTGCTGAGAGACCAAGAGGCAGCACGGCAATTCTGTTGTCATGCAAGTCAGGCAAGGATGGCGTGTACTTAATGGCGATGGAAGCCAAAATAAGGTCCTTCCTTGGTTGAACATGGAAAGTTTCTCTCAGTCTTTAAGCTTCCCTCTCCTACTTCCACTTTGGAAGAAAAGACCAACCAAGTCCTGCACTGTGCCTTGTCTGGCAAAGTCTTCTGGGTTGTAACAACCTGCGCAGTCACCACCTACTCTGAGTCACTTGCGTCTGGTGACTCTCACACCTCTGCCAGCTTGGAGGCATCGAAGAGTGCATCATTCCTCTTCTGCATGAAGCCCACACCACCAACCTCACAGATTAGACCAAGATAGCTCACCCACCGCTGAAGAGTTTTCGGTGCGCAGTGAGACTGGAAAGTTGCTGACCATCCGATACTCCAGGTCAGAGTACTGAAAGTTTGGATCAGCCTCGGATGCTTCGCTTGGAAACGTGGTAAATCCGTGCTCAAAAAAAATCTCATGATCGCCCGCCTTCAAAACAATGAACTTGCCACCCTTCTTCGCCTGTCGAACAAACAATCCCACAACAACGAAGCTCAAATCTTTCTGTGCCACTCTTCAACACATCGGCCTTCAACACTTCCAATGCTTCTGGCACGAAGGAAGGAGCCTGAAGGAGGACAAATTCAGTATCTAGGCGTTGCAAGTCTTCAGAGACTTATATAATCATTGGCTTCATAAATGCAACTTGGGGCGTTACAATGATGCCATCGCTGACTTCTATCTTCAAAATCATTGCAGTGGCCTTGCCCGCAAATCGCAAAGTCAATCAATTGCGGGTGATGAGGCTGCGAGCTGCAGGGGCTCCAGCCACGTCAACTTCGTGTGAAATGGCCACAAAGTCACCGAAGGAGCACATGGGATCAGCATTTCGGGCTCGAACGTACGCTGCAGCCTCACCCCAATTGTTCAATCAAAACTATATGTTTTGTGGACCAAACGGCTGTCGCTGGAGAAACCTAAGTGAACTACAGTGGCCGTCATTTCCTTATCTTTGACTTCATACACAATCTTCTCCTCGTATTGCACACTTTTCAGCCACTCACGTGGTAGAATCTTACAGGCCAACAATTTCAGCAGAAAGACTCCAAAGATTGGTCCTCATCACTCAGCGGGACTCCAATTGCTGCACCAGCTGGACTGACATGTTTAAAGGAAGCCGCAGCCTCGGGCACCAATCATCCCACAGTTGAGAAAGGACATCAACAAATGAGTGCGAATGCATCAAATCGATTGTCTGAGTTGCTGGCAGGCAAGCCTGTGGCTTTAGCAAGCTCATGAACCAATTGCCAGGCATTGATCGCGTCCAGCAAGTTGATGTATCCCGGCCTTACAAGTGCACTGGGGTCACCAAACACCAAAGAAAGGTGCACTATGGTGACTATAGGCTTCTATGTTGGTTAAGTTCCGAGGTGAGGACGTTCCATTCACAACCTTGATAGCTTTGTACTTGCATGGTTCGTGCAACGAAGAACTAGCTCATCTCCAGATTTCGAGATCCCAGCTTCAAAAGGCAGCTTCTTCTGGGCTACGGCACAAAGCCCAGCAGGCAGTTGATGCCTGAATGGAGCAGCATTCAATCTCAGATCGTGATACTTGTTTCATTCAACATTCCAGTGTCGATTTCAGACTCTGAGGCTTCGTCGGATTGCATCCGTACTTCAAGGGCATCTCAAGCCTCACTACAAGCTTCACAAGCTTCACAAGTTTCACAAATACAAATGCCAATCCCCAAAGTTCGCATACTCTCTGAGTTTCTAAGAACCCGGTCTCAAAAGTGATGGTCTTCTTGGTGGGAGGCTCTGTAACCTGCAAAACTTCAGCGATCGAAGACCTTCAGACTCATTATATAACCCCTTCTCTTCCTACCAAACCCGCAAGCCCTCCGTCCCTCTGAGAGGACCTCTCAAAGAGCCACCCATGAAATCATTGGCAAGTTGAAAAGCAAAATGGCATCTGACGAATGCAATTCCAACACTTGCATTCTATGCCAGGTCGAGATAGGGCTTTTCTCGAGCTCACAATATGTTTATGCAGGACTCGGAGTGATAAAACAAATCCACCGAACGACAGACAACTTAGTCGTTTCGGCGTCAGCACTGGGCTGTGGCAGAAATACATGATTCATGATCTAGTGACCTCATTGTCACCGAAACAAAGGACACTGTTCGCATGTGAAGGCTGGCCTTGGGACAGTTGGAAATGGGGCGTACTCGGTGGAAATCGTCTAAATTCATGTCAATAATACATGATCAATATCTTATTGACCCGATCATTTGAATGTCCAGTCTGCACACACACACATATATGTGTGTGTGTGTATATATATATACATACATCCACGATTTTGTGGTTCACCCCAACGACTTTTGTTGAACAAAAGCAGTTCCGCCCAAGAGGTATTGAACAGTGGACCGCCAATGAGCACAACTTGTTGGGGACTCTTTGCATCCTGAGATATAGGAATAAGGCCAAGGACTCGATCTTTCTCTTTGGTTTGTGCCATCCAGATTGGTAGTTGAGCATGCGTATTCACAATGAATGCAACGGCGTTTATGCCATGTAATACCCAGTTTGGAACATGGGAAATCTGATGTGTATGTGGATCTGGCCACTTAAGGGAAGAAAAGAATTGGATTACTAAATAAGCATGCCTCGACGACATGACTATAGATTCGTGGAGGAAATGTCAAACATGGAGGCACTCGCAGTTTAAGCAGGTAGCCCAGTCTTGGGTGGTGTCGTGATTGCACTAGCTCTGGTTTCCTGAATTGTTGCATGTTATCCTTGTGGGGTCCATCAGGAAAGTCTGCAGGGTGCTTGGTATTGACCGCATTGACCCATGTCTGGTTCCCATGTCGTGGGATCTTTTTCGACCCAAAACTTCCTGGCCTCCCCTGAAAGCCATCCACTCACAGCTGAATCATAGGCCGACGTCAGCGTATATGCAGCAGCCTGCGAATCCAAGGTGCAGAGAAGCTTGGCACATGCGGTGCGACAATTCTCAAGCTAACGAGAAAGAATACCGAGACAACGGCTGCCATGTTCTTTCTGAAGCTAAAGGTTGTGCATCCACTGTTGTCACCTCAACTAGGCAGCTAGGTGTCTTCAACCACATGGTGTCAATCAAAACGAAACTTTTAGCTGCCGGCTAAGCTCTGTCATGAACTTAGAATACTGAGAAGGGCTGGTCAGGATGGTCCTGAGATAAGTTGCAAGTGATATTCTATGGCTCTTTTCAGTGTTGCAAGCAGATTTGTCAAAAAAACAGTCCATCTCAAGGACTGCTGGTTGCTGCTGGGTCAGAACAACATCTAGCCGCTAGCCATGCACTGCACTGGCCTTTGTGACAAGGCCCCGGCACAGCCGCATTGTTCTTGGCAGATGCTCTGATCATGGCTGGTCCACCAATGTCAATGTTCTCAATGCAAGTAGCCTAGATGACCACGCACTTTTGCATACGCAAACACACTTGCACGGACTAAACTCTACACTGCAAAGTCCCCGGCAAAGTCGCCTCCTTTTGCCACCTTCGGCTCGAAAATGCAAATCTTAAAGGCTCTCACAAAGCAAGGCATGGACAGCTTCTTGAAAAGGATAAAGGTTGACAACCTGAGCAAAACTCCAGCATCAGCAGCAGGCCCATGCTCAAAACAACATGTGTGGACATTGCCAAGCCAGGGAAACGGCAACCAAATCTATTTTGCGGATACTGTGCTTCTCCATTTCCGCCTGGAACGAGCTCAAAAAAATTGAGTGATGTTCAATCGTTCTGGATATCAATATCTTTAGATGTTGCATTTGCGCTACCTCGTGTCCAGCATTACCGCGGGCAGCAAGAAGACCGCCATGGACCTATCCGAGTCCAAGTCCCCAATCAAAGAGAGAAACACACCTTGGTTGATCGTGTTTCTCATATTCTGAATTGGTCTCTGCAAACACGCCTTTGGATGTAGCGTCTTCACGCGACCATCCAAAATCTCAGGTGACCTCGTCATCCAAGGAGCCACTCAAGTCTTGTTCATGTTGTTTGGCAAAGGAGACATCTCTGGGCCCAAAAAGTTGATCTCTCGGCCCTGGACCCTGTGTAGTCGGCAACATCTTGAACCTGGACCCGAAGTCAGTGTGGAAAGAATTTCCGCAAGAAACAGAAACCAAATCCACCAAGCACCGAGCAGTGCAACCCAGATCCCTCAACTTTGCGGCAGTGCCGCCCGTCGAAAGAATATGAACCTGGAGCCCATGAGATCGTCGTGACAACTTCATGATGCATTCTCTGTCTTGACAGGTTGAACAATTTTGTAGGCGTTTAGCCCCTTTCGCAGCCAGGAACTTGCCGAGGTCTTCCAGTCCAGACCTAATTGTCACATTGACATGCAAAAAAACGACTGAATGCAAGCAAACCGACATCAAGTTAGTAGAACCTCTGTCTTCAAGCCAAAGTTCACAGAAATACTCAGGCAAGTTCTTATCAAAGACCGAGACCAACGCAGTCTTGATTTCAACCTGCGGTGGTTCATAAATGACACCGACTAAAATGTTTGAACCACTTCAACGATTCAACCCTCGCCTTGTCAACAACCTCAGCGCTCACTGATGTTAATGTTGTCGGACCCATGGTCGCGAATCCTGATAGGCGAGTTTCGCAAAACACACTGGAAACAATGGTCCATATGGTTCGTTTCTTCTCCTCTGCTTGCCCACCCCACAATGCGCCGTGAGCTTGAGCCAACCCGCGGTGGACGCAACGGTGACCTTTAATGTTGGTCAGAGTTCGTGCGAGTGGATCTTAATCAGCGAAGTTTGAAGCTATCACTGACGGTCCATAAGCGGCGTAGCGTCGGAACGGAAACCGCACCTTTTCTAGTCGCTTGATCCTTGAGCCAAAGTACATATGGTACATATATATGTACAAGTTGCACTGTACGTGTCGCTGCACTTCCATTCGCACCCCCCATGTGAACGGCAACAATATGTTCCGATCACACACGAAAATTTAGGGATGTAAGTGCTACAAAAGAAATTGTATGGTTTGCCGCGAGACTCATATGAGGCTCATACTACGAAACATGCTGGACTAAAGCGGACTTTTACATATAAAGTGTGCAACTATGGCTCAGAACCTATGAAAATCGAATTGAACAAGTGAGACAGTCACGAGGCCTCGCTCAGTATCCACTCAAAAGAGCATCGCTTTGATGTAGATCCGAACTGGTGACTTCCACGTAGATGTCACATCGGCAACTGACTTCACACTTCTCAAAAGATGTATGTTTTGGTTTGGATACACTTACAGAACGGCAAGTCGGAGAGACAGTCGGTGACTGTCTGCCTTCCATTATGCTCATGGTATCAAATCAGATTGACGATTTGCAATGATACACTTACAGCGTTTCAGGTCAGATAGACATCCGGTGAATGACGTCCTCCCTGGTTTGCATGGTATCCTCATAGTCGTTCAAAGAAATCACCACTGGCGATAACCTCTCCATCCACGATGATCCCAGCTGCCCTGAGCATCCCACCGATCATCTTCTCCCTTCTTGGACTTTCCCTTGGACTTGCTCTTTCCCTTCCCCTTTTCAGAAGGTTGAGGTACTTCGCGACGTTCTTGCGTTAGCGCCGGCCTCCAAGATGTTCCAGATTGGCCTCCTCCTTTGGAATGTCCTCGGGATGATGAAGAAGTTGTACCTTCTGCTGCATGTGCGTTGGCGGCAAGATCTTCCTGCAAAGCTTGCTCAAACACATCGGTAGCACTGGATGGTGATTTATCATGTGGTCTGGCTTTTGGAGCAACCTTCGCCTTGTTCTCCTCTGCTGATGAGGGCCCGAAACTCTTAGGTGCTGTTGAAGGTTTTGGCTCCTCACTTGGTGCTGACGACGGCTTGGCCTCGGTTCTGGGTGTAGATGCTGGCTTTGCCTCAGCTCTTGACGAAGATGCTGCTTTCGCTTCAGACTTAGTCGTTGATGTTGACTTAGCTGTTGCCTTGGCTGCCTGCTTCTTCTTGCCCTGAATCTCCTTGGCCCTATCTCCAAAGCCTAGACGATTGGTAAGAGCTTGAACATGCTTATGTTCTACCACGCTCATCCATCTCTCTGTATGTCCAACGTTGGGGTTTCTGGCCATTGACTCTATGACTTCCTGAGCTTGTGGGGGCAACCTGATCTCATGTTGATCAATGATCAACAGAATAGACTTCTCCCACTTGCTCTTCATTCTCGAGTACATGATGTCCAGAGGATCGATCACCTTGTGGTAGGGTGATGTAACGTCGGTTCTAAAGTAAGAATATGTCCGACACCCATAAATCGCATGGATGCACTTCTGTACCAATTCAGTCATTGCGCTGGCTTTCTTCGCTTTCAACTCCTCAAGCTGGGCATCAGTCAAGTTGGTGGAGTGTTCGAAGTTGCCATATTCCTCCTTGAAGGAGTTCGGGGTATGACCAAATGATAGGATCATGAGTGCTACCTTGCAAATGAATTGCTCTCCTCTGAATCGGTGCCAGGCCTCCTCAGTTGTAATATTGTTGTCGTTGGCAAAGATTAACATCATATCATCTGTTGGATCCAATGGTCTCCCATCGTCATCGATTTCAGTGGAATCCCCTGTACCGAACTTGCTTATCACATCCAGTCGCTTCCTTTTCCAATTTGCTTTGAAGTCGGTAAGGCTGGTGCAATAGTAGCTCTTGTACATCAGGGAGATCATGTTCAGCACACATTTGACCACATACCTATCCATCAAACCCGATGCTTTCACGGAGACGTCCTGACAGTAGGCTCTCTCTTGATGCGCATAGATTCGAGGTTCCGGTACTCGACAATAGATGGGGGGATCTTCGTTGTCTCTTCCTTCTTCGGGATTGAACTCGGTCGCTCCGTGCTGTGCATAGTATCCCGGTTCATCACGATCTGTCGGTCGATTCGCCTCCGGATGTAAGTCGTCGGTGACGTCTTCATCCTCGGGCTCACCATCTTGACGTTTCTTCCCCTCATATTGTTGTGTGCTCCTCTGGATCTCGATGATCACGTTTCGTTCGTCTTCATCTTCTAGATCAGAATCACGACCGTAGTCGATCTCGTCCTCATTGAAAGATGGGGTCTCGACATTGTCACTCTTGAAGTTTTCTGCACCATCAGACGGTTTGGAAGGATCTAGATTGTCCATGTCCTCGTCGTCGTCAGCTGCTTCAGTTTGAGCGATGTCTTCTTCCCAAGCCTTTCTGATCTCGTCCATAGTGGCCTGGTCCAAGATATCTTGATCATCATCTTCAGGCTCCTTCTCTTCCTTCTTTTCCTCTTCATCGTCGCTCACAAGATCAACGGGTGAATCGGAAATGACAGTGTTGCGAATACCACACGAGAGTAGCCTGCCTTGACAAGATAGACACACGGACAAAGATGAAGAAGTCAAATGCATACATGATGGACACAAAATATTGCCATCCACGTTGCGATACCCTTCACATGTTCTGGAGATGATTTCGTCCCAAGTTTCCTCACTGATGGAATCCTCGATCAGCTCTCCATTGCCATCGAATTGTACTTCATCGATAAGGGATACGAGCTTTTGGACGTTGTCATCTGTCGCCGAGGCTGACTTCGTGACTTCGTCGGCTCTCTCGAGGATGGTATGCTTCTGAGCAACCCAAAGTCCATGATGTGCCGCTAGAACAACTTGCTCTCCAGTGCTTCCCAGCAGGAGTCTCCTCCATGCCTGAACGTAGTCGTCCCAATACCAAGCACCTCGTACACATCTCCATGGAACTTCTCTAAAAACAACAGTGTAGGAATTCTCCGAAATTCTTCCCCCAAGCTTCCTCAAAGTCATGATTGGAACATAAAGGCAAACGGGCATTCCCACTCTTGGCCATCTTGATCTCAGAATCTTTGATGATCGATCATCCCACGGCGCAAAGTGGTTGAAGAAAACACTACCTCTATATCCCTCCGTTCCACCAGGGACAATTCCTAGTTTCATGATTGACTCAATATTGGAAAGCGATGTCATGTGAAAGCTTCCTCCAAGCTGCATTGCCACATTCTCTGGGATGAGATGTGAAGTCCACACAGGATATATTGACACATCCTCTTCAAGAACAGTCTCTCTTCCAGAATTGTGAGAGGCAACAGCTCGAATTGCACAAGGAACGATCCAACGTTCATGCTTCAGAAATGACGGTGCATCTGTGCTGTAATACATGAGGTTTGCCCAGTATTGCCTTTCCTCTTCGAGTGAGACATCCTCCTTGAGATACGAATGGCGGCAATCTGATAGCGTACTCTGTTCTGCAACTTCTTTGCATGCCACATCGCCTTGCATAAATACTGGTATCGCTCTGTCTTGACATCTTGACGATGCCGATCACCTGAGATAGTACTGATATCGACACCATCGTTGAAGACATGGTCATATTCCAGGATCTCATCGATGTTCACCCATCCACCCTCATTGCACTTCGGGGACACATGAGGTTTTCGACCGCGGTGCGATTGAATCCCATTATGCTTTCCCACTCCATGCCTGAGTAGTCTATTGAGTCTATGGCTAACCTCGTTGACCCGCTGACTCTCCTCGCTGGACTTGTCGATGCGAGTTGCTGGGTTCATCTTTGGTGGATCCGTGAAAGTTGCATCTCTCTTCGGTCCATTCCAGTACTCCACATAGAATGTAACTCCATACTGTGGAATTATCTCGATGCTTCCTCTATCGCAAGCCACCTCAATCTGCCGATATCCAACCTTTTGAACTTGTTGTGGGTCAGGAGTAAGGTCCTTCACTTTGGGCATCTTTATTCCGAGTGCTGCAGCCTCCTGAATAAGTGCATCAAGTTCCCACTTTCCATTAGGACCTGATCTATCAACCCTGTGATTTGCGACCCTGTACTCTCCTCCTTCTTTGTCATCGGCAATGTCAAAGAGGTCGACGGGCTCTTTGAATCTGGTGACGAAACTGGCGTTCCCAAAGGCCTTCTTGGTTGCCTCGACCGCTTTCGCGTATTCCTCTTTTGCAGAGTCTGACGAGTGTGGTCTACCTTTGGCTCTCGGAGAGTGAGGTGGTACCTTACCTCCTAGTTCCGGTTCTTCTTCGGGAAGTTCAATATCTTCATCATCCACATCCATGTAGTCCTCGTCTTCGACGTCTTTGGATGACTTTGCTTTCCTCTTTCGGCTTTCAACATCACGTCGGATGATTGCCTTGTCGTCCTCGGTGAAGCACTTGCGCATAGTGTCCTCCATGTGAGAGAATGAGTTCATCAACTCGTCCTTCTTCTCAGTGTCGGGACAAATAGCCAGGTGATGTTGGTTTGAACCACAACAATAGCACACCTTTTGGCTCACTGCGCGTGCTCTGACCCTTCTGAGGTTGTCATAGGCGGTTTTCCAGTTGGAAGCGGTTGCTGTACCTTGCCCACTGCGCTTGGCAGCTCTTTTCCGTTCTTCAGTATCTGGATTCGATGTCGGGTAGCGCGACCATGTTTTCGTCGGGGATACTGAACGACCTTCCCCATCCTTGTAGTCTTGCGGATCAAGTTCAGGCGTAGGTGGTTCGGGCTCCTCGACTCCTGGAGTGGTACTCGCAGGGTCGGCTTCGCCATCCTTCATCTCTACATCAGGCTCTTCCGTAGACGTTCTTTTGGGCTCTGGGGCTATGGCCAGTCGTACCATTCTCCTGAACTTTGGTCTGGTAGCATACCTGGACATGACGGCATCGATACAGGCTTGTTCTT